TTTTTTTTTTTTTTTTTTGCATATGGATGCTAAATTGTTCTAACACTATTCGTTGAAAAGATAATCTTTTCCCTATTTAATTACCTTGGCACTTTTGTTTAAGATCAATTAACGTCTAAGCATAGGTCTATTTCTGGACTCTATTCTCTCCCATTGATCTAATCCTGTGCCATTACCACCCAAGCCTATTACTGAAGCTCTATAATTCTTGAGTTTATAATTCTTTTAATCAGAGAGTGTAAATCCTCCATTTTTTCTTCTACAAAATTGTTTTAGTTACTCTGCATCTTTCCATATACAATTTAGAATTTCTCTGATCATGTTTGCTTTAATAAGGCCTGCCACAGTTGGGATTACGTTAAAAATATAGATCATTTTGGAGGAAATTGACATCTTAGTAATATCAAATTTTAAATCTGTAAACATGATTTTTCTTTCTATTTGCATCATCTTTAATTTCTGTCAGTGATTTTTTTTTTTTTTTTTTTAGTTTTCAAGGTACAGTGGTATTACACATGTTTTGTTAAATGTATCCCTAAGAATTTCATGGTTTTGGTGATGAGAACAGTTATTTTGCTTATTCCTGATAGTATGTTAATGACTTCCATGTCTGGTTTTGATATCAGAGTACTACTGGGCTCTTAAAATGAGTTTGAATATTTACACTTTTTTTTTCTGTTTTCCAAAATAATTTACGTGGTGATTGGTATTATTTCTTCCTAAATGTGTGATGGAATCCGGCAGTGAAGCTATTCAAGGCTGGAGTTTTCTTTGTGGGAAAGTTTTAAATTCCGAATTGTTTTTACAGATAGAAGGTTATTCAGATCCTTTGTTTTCTTTTTGAATCAGTTTTGGAAAATGGAATATTTTAAGGAATTTGACATTTCATTTAAGTGGAATTAATTGACATAAAATTGTTTTTAACATTCATTCATCTCTGTGTCTCTATGATCTGTGATCTGCCACTTATCTGTGTGACCTTAGGCACATGGCTTAACCTCTTTGTGCCTTCATTTCCCATTTGTAAGGTAAGATCATAATAGTGCTCACCTCATATTGTGGTCATAAGAATTGACATAGTACAAACGTAGAAAGTATATAGAAAAATAACAGGAAGAGTCAGCACTCAGTAAATGTTAGCTGTTATAATTGAAGACAATGTAGGGACTGGGTGACTCCTCGTTGATGAGTTGTGGAAAAGTCTCATGCATCAGTGAGCCAGATATGCTACAAGATCCTTTTCAATCTCATAGCTTTTCTGACAGTAGAGTAGTTAAAATCCAGTATTGCAGGAAAGGATTCCTTTTTGGAGCTATCATCTGGCCAGCAAGACAGAAGTATACTTAGCAACTTGGGGAATGACTCAGGCTTTGATTTTTAAGACTTGCTTTTCCTGCATAGGACTGGACACATATTGTATGTAACTGATGTTTGTTACTTGGGTGTTAATTGAATTGCTTATATTAAAGTATTCTACAAGATGCTTTCAGTGGAAGAATGTTGTTTCTTAGCCCATATTTCTTTGCTCCGTGAAGGGTGATGCATCTGGCATCTGTATTGCATATACTTATGCCTTGCATGTTGTTTTCTACACCTTTGATAAGGAGAGCTAGCCATGTCATTGGCTTATTTAGAATGTGACTCTATTGGTAAATTGTATTCTGAATGAAAAAGAAAAAAACATTGAGTTATAGTCCAATTTTTTTCTGTAAAGAGCCAGATAAATAATTTAGGCTTTGCAGGCCATACACTCTGTTGTAGCCATTCAACTTTGCTGTTGTGGTACAAAAGTAGCCATAGACAACAAATATATAAATAAATTGGTATGGCTCCATTTCAATAAGACTTTATTTACAAATATAGGTGGCTAGTGGACCATATTTGGCTTGGGGACCATTGTTGGCCAACGTCTGATCTGTGTAAGACTTACAAGAATTGTATAGCTAGAGATTGTCTGTATGTACCCTTATAGCAGTATCTAATGGTCCAAAATGTTATTTTTTTGTTCTCTGTAACTCACTGATGGAGAAGATTTTATCTAAGTGTTCATATTGGCAAACTGTCCAAGAAATGTAGGTATATCGCTCCTATTTTAGAGTGAAGGTCAACATTTATTAAAACATACAAAATTCAGGATAGTCTAACAGGTTGTAATTTCAGTTCACTATCAATATATCTGTATTGAATACCTACTGTTTACTTAGTACTGTCACAGGCTCTGAGTTTACTTTCATGAGCAAGGTCTTTGTTACTGTTATCATGAAACTTACAGCCCAGTTGGTAGACTAAAATTGAGCAGGTATGTTACATATTTTCATAAGCCACATTGTGTCGGTCGCTATGTTTCCACATATTTTAAGAAATAACTGAAGTTTAAAAGATTACTTCATATAACACTCATTGCTTGTATGAGCATAATTATAAATATTCCAATTAAAACTCCTTCATTTTTATTTAAGAAAAAAAAAGAAAGGGAACAAAAAATTAATAAAGAAATGGAGGAAAAAGCAGCAAAGGAGATGGAGAAAGAACATTTGCAAGAAAAGGCAAAAGAAAAATATCAGGAATGGTTGAAGAAAAAAAATGCTGAAGAATGTGAGAAGAAGAAGAAAGAAAAGGTATTTTTATTAAAGTGACCAGTTGAGATGTATGGCTTTGGTGTTCATACATGCCAACTATATTGTATAAAAAGTTTCTCACGGAGGGGATGCTCTCGGGTGGCTCAGTCAGTTAAGTGTCCGGCTTCCACTCAGGTTATGATCTTGCAGTCTTGCGGTGGATTTGAGCCCCGGCCGGGCTCTGTGTTGACAGCTCAGAGCCTGGAGCCTGCTTCAGATTCTGTGTCCCCCTCTCTCTCTGCCCCTCCCCTGCTCACGCTGTTTCTCTCTCTGTCTCAAAAATAAATAAAAAAAATTTTTTTAATTTAGTAAAAAAAAATTTTTTTAAGTTTCTTATGGAAAATTGGTACCATCTTAGCATAAAATAAATATATGAAGCTATCCCTACTTATTTATGCTATGTGTAAGTTTCAGAAATGAATATGAATTGTGGTTTTGTTAGGTTGACAAATATTAATAAGCCTGTTGGTATATTTTCAGTCTAGTTCAAACTTTATCATTGTTTATGTTTTAAATATTTTTAATGTGTTTTTATGAAAGCCTTATTACATTTTATTAATTACTGTTCTATTTTAAAACAACAAATTGTTGGCGCACCTGAGTGGCTCAGTTGTTAAGCATCCGACTCTTGGTTTCGGCTCAGGTCATGGTTTCACAGTTCCTGAGTTTGAGCCCTGTGTCCAGCTCTGTCTGACAGCACAGAGCCTGCTTGGGATTCCCTCTCTCTCTGCCCCTCCCTGCCTCTCTCTCTCTCTCTCTCTCTCTCTCTCTCTCTCTCAAAAGTAAATAAACGTTAAAAAAAACAAACCAGAAAATTGCTTTTTTCTTCTTGGGTTTGACGTCTTACTGTTGTCTAGAGGCAGCCATCTTTAGATCGTATCCCTGACCATGTTAAATTTTGCTCTCAAATTATATAAATATGACTTAGTATTTATGATCAGTAAGCCATTGGGGTGGGGAGCTACTGGGGAAAAGAGTCAGTGCAATTTGAATAGAATTTTTAGTTATAGAATATCACTACAGATTCTTTGGTCTTGTCATTTTAAGGAAAAAGAAAAACAACGGCAAGCTGAATTACAGGAAAAAAAGGAAATAGCAGAGAAAAAGTTTAAGGAATGGTTGGAAAATGCAAAAAATAAACCTCGTCCAGCTGCAAAGGGCTATGGTTATGCCAACGGAAAACTTACAGGTTGGTTTTAATGTTATGTGGCTTACATAAATATGGCTTGCAGGAGCAAATATTATACATTATGTTTCCTTTTGACAGAAATAGAAATGTGTAAAAATCATTTTTCTTTCAAATTACTATTTTCTGGAAGATTATAACACACTGTTCCTATAGAGATACAATAAATTTATTGTCATTCTCTATAAATCAGGTATATTTTAAAGGCAGTAGTTGCAAAAGTAATGATTTGTAACATTAAGAAACACATTGAAACTTTCTTATGTTTTTGGCTTTTGAAGCCTTAAGGAGGATGCATTTAAGGGGCCTTTTTTTCCTCCCCTTCCTGTAAACCTCCCTGAGGCAGAACTTGCAGCGTCTCGGGCACATTTGTTTTGCAGGGCGGAGTACTGCGCGGTGTATGACCCCGACACAAAACCGGTGGGCCTTCGGGCCTGCCCTTGTTGGAAATGGCGCTGCATGTTTTTCTTTGTGCCTCATGTTGGAAGCTCAGGCCTTGCTGACAGCTGCCTTCACTTGTTTAAGTGATTTATTATTAAAAAATACTCCCATTCTGTTCTGTTCACACAATAGAACATATTCCAGACTTTGTTTTGACCATCTCGGTGAAGTGTGTGTTGACATATCTCTGCAGTCAAAGTGGGTTGCCAGTGTCTGAACGACACATTCCTGCTGTCAGGGTTCAGGCCTCTCCCACATGTCATAGAAGTCATCCATTACAGCTAGTAGGCACCGGGCATGGTCTGCTCTTTTTTCTTCTTTTCCTGTCTGAAAAAAAATAGTAATAAACGGTGGTTTTGACCGAAGGATTGGATGGGAAAGTGAAAACTTTAGGTGGGAATGTACATATTTACTGGAAGTTATTTGCTAAAATAATGGTTATTTTATTAAATTTTTTGCAATTTAAATGAGTTTTGTTCAAATAAACTTTTGTCTGCAAATGCTCTACTGCTTTTAATAAGCAAAATTTTAGTGATATTATGAAATCTGATCAATTTGAGTGATAGTAATGTAGAATTTCAGTCATTATGAATAAGAGTTTTGTTCACTTTAGCTAAATATGCACTATTGCAATATACTTTTTTTTCTCTCTCTCTAAAGTTTAGTATCTGACTAGGGAAAACTAGTACAGAATCAGTGGTTTCCCAGACTGAGGTAAGAAAATGAAGATTTTGTTCAATTTAAGGGTTCAAAAAGGGATTTCCTAGTAAAATTTTTATGTGGAGGTTTTATTTATATAGATTTTAAGAACACTCTTTGGACTTCTAGAATTATCATTTATATTTTAATTTTTACTGCAGTACTTACTGTATTTGAAAAATGTTACTTGTTTGAAAATATTTTAGAGTTCAAGTTTTAAATGGATTAAGTTGGCTTCTCAGTGATATTTTTGCCCTTTTGATACTGTAACATTTTTCTAGGAATTTAAAAATAAGTAGTTTCTTTGATCTTAAGAAGTTTTTTCTTGTTTTGTTCTGACTTTTTAATAATTTTAGATTTTTACAGTGGAAATTCTTATCCAGAACCAGCCTTTTATAACCCAATTCCATGGAGACCCATTCATATGCCTCCTTCCAAAGAAGCTAAGGACCTATCAGGAAAGAAGACTAAAAGGCCTGTAATAAGTCAGCCACACAGGTCATCGTCTCTGGTGGTTCAGAAAGCCAGAAACAATCTTTGCCTTGGAAGTCTGTGCAGAATACAAAGATAGCAGATATGGGTAATTGCATGCTTTTACCTGGAGCTATTTAATTTTAAAATTAGAATAGTTTTTTTACTGCTCAGGCAGCAGCTCAACATTTGATGTGATTATTAACAAGTTCATGTTTTTGTATATGTTGTCCTTAGAGTTAATTGAGGAAGACATTTTATACATTTTCATTTTTATAAGTGCTTCAAGGTAGATCTTGGCATATTGTTTCACAGGATAGGTGACTGGATATCTAACAATTGTGTTTCTATTTAGCTTGTATTAAAACAACATTGTAATACCAGTAAAACCAACAATTTGTATGGTGTTCTTTCATACTCTGTGTTTATTTGTGTTTATGTTTATCATAGTAAGATTAAGCTAAAATTGTTCAAATAAGCTTTTGTAAACTGCATGCTCAAAATAACTCTTAGAAGAATCTAAATGGGTTAGACTTCTAGAGTAATCAAACACAGTCTTCCTTGATAGCTTTTGGTGTATTTTTCCTTATGTATATATTTTTTTTTTAAATTTTTTTTTCAACGTTTATTTATTTTTGGGACAGAGAGAGACAGAGCATGAACGGGGGAGGGGCAGAGAGAGAGGGAGACACAGAATCGGAAACAGGCTCCAGGCTCTGAGCCATCAGCCCAGAGCCCGACGCGGGGCTCCAACTCACGGACCGCGAGATCGTGACCTGGCTGAAGTCGGACGCTTAACCGACTGCGCCACCCAGGCGCCCCTTTATGTATATATTTTTAAATAACTAGAGGCATGTTTTTTATAACAAAGAAATGAGGGTTGAGTTTTTGAAAGGGAAACTTAAAAGCATTGTTATAGGCTCTGGATCTGAGGTTAACATGTAGCAATCTTGAGACACTAATAGTATTTTGCTATACTTTGTACAAATACTTATACATTCATTATAATTAGGTAGTTAATTTTGAAATTAAGGTTAGCAGTACATTATTTTTTAATGTTAAGGGTTAAGTGATATTTATTGAAGCTAAGATCTTACTAATGAATACATAATAAGGAAAGTAGTTCAAAGGATTACTGAACTAGCATTCAGCACTTTTTACTAAATTTTAAAAGTCTGTATCTTTTTTTAGGGACCGTCGAGAAATGAAGATTTGTTGTGGCAATATAAAGTTCAGTAAATTGATTTAAAAGTGATTCCTATTTAGAATATACATATTCCATGTTTCTGCTAGGTTAGTAATTTGCCAAGTTTCTAGTGACTAACGGGCAGTGGTGTTGACCAACGCAAAGGAGCGACAGTAGAATCTTTGAAGGGCATTCACGTCATCAGAAATCTAGGAAAATTCACTTCTAAGCAGGAAACAGTTTGGGAGGCACCAGTAGGGTTTGTTGGGACAGAATAGTGGTCAGATTTATAAGCCTGACCATCCTTCTCAGAACCTCTTAGACATAGTGATATTTTCAGACAATCATTCCACTTGAACAAATTCACCTCTGTAGAGAGAGAACGTGCAATTTGCCAGTGTAGTGATAAACTTGTGTGTCACTTATCGCTAAGTATCCATAGGCCTGAATTCCTGCGAGTTTTAGATGTATGTTATGTGTAAGAAACCTTCAGTTTCACACAGTAGATTCAGGTGTTTAGGCAACTTCTAGCTATAACCGTAATTCTAGTAATACTTTGCTCAGTCATTAATTAGTTTGACCAGTATTACAGCAGTCTCTCCTTGTCTCTGGTTTCGCTTTCCATGGCTTTAGTTACCTGTGGTCAACCACTGTCCCAAAAGAGGGTAACTACAGTACAATAAGGTATTTTGAAAGAGAAGCCACATTCACATAACTTATTACAGTATATTGTTATAATTTGTTCTGTATTATTGTTAATCTCTCACTGTGCCTAAGTTACAAGTTAAACTTCATCATAGGTATGTGTGTATAGGGAAAACCAGTATATCTAGGGTTTGGTACTATCTGTGGTTTCAGGCACCCACTAGGGAGGGGTCTTGGAACCTATCCCCACAGATAAGGGGGAACTATTGTAATTGAACATTTACTCTGCAACAGATGTTTTGCATACTGATTTAGGAATTTAAATGACATATTTCTTTAATTCAGTCAACATTTTCGGCCTAACCAGGAAAACCTATAACAGACTAAATGCTATAATACACTGCTTAAAAGTGAAGTACAGGGGCATCTGGGTGGTTCAGTTGGTTAAGCATCCAACTTTAGCTCAGGTCATAATCTCACCGTTCTCGTGGGTTTGAGCCCCGCCTCGGGCTCTGTGCGGACAGCTCAGAGCCTGGAGCCTGCTTCAGATTCTGTGTGTCCCTCTCTTTCTGCCCCTCCCCCTCTCACACTCTGTCTCTCAAAAATAAACATTAAAAAAAAATCAAGTTCAAAGTTCATCTGGGAGCATAAATGAGAGGTAGTTCAGCCTATGAAGGGATTAAGAAAGGCTACAAAGAGAAGGTGACATTTGAGCTGGTAAAAAATAAGCAGGAGTTTTCTGGATGGTCACAAGCTGACCATACTCATTAACATGCGGCAAGAAGTATCTGGGAGAGAAGTAGGGGTCAGAGTAAAAAAGGTTCTGTGTATGCTGCAGAATTTGGACCTGATCCTAAGGACGTGTAATGTCCTTTTTTACTTCTCCAGTGATCCACTGTAAAAAGATTTTGATACCAAACTTATTTACTATTAAAATCCATTTTTTATTAATTGGAAACTTCAATCAACATATCTGATCACCAGGAGGTTAGTGTTTTTAACCTGAATCCATTTTTCTTGATGTCCGGATACTTGATATTTTAGGCATTACAGACGACATTATAACATTTGAAATTTCTGTTGAGGTTTTTAAAATTTGTTTGAATTTTACTACCACTTTGGAAGTGTTCTGAAATATCTAGGTAACCTATAATGTCAACAAATTCATGATCCAATGGAAAGAACACAGGTATTGTAGATCTAAGTCTGTGAGTCCTGGTTTTATGTCTGTTTACCTGGAAGATGCCTCATTTTTTCAATGTTTAATACCTTATCTAATTTAGAAACTTATGGGGTTATAAATAATAAGTGGGAGTATGTAAAAATGCAAGTTTCTTTTTTGTATGATAATTCTGATAAGATATACCAAAGATATTCTTTGTCTTTAGTGATAATTGATTTACATAATAACTGGCTTCAGTTAAAGATTTACCAACAGTAAGTTAACTGGTCAGTGCTTGGGATGGACTTTCATTTACCCCTATTCTAAAAATAAAAAGGGAATACTGTGTTCATTTCTTTCAAATCGATTCAGTAAATATTTGTTGAATATCTAATATATGCTAGTTAATATTCTAGATGCTGGAGGTTCATCTGTGCATAAGAGAGCCCCTGCATGCTGCCCTCATGGGATCTTATGTGACTGGGATGGGAAACATACTAAGCATGTAAACAAACAGCACTTTATCTGGCTCTAGGTGTTGTAAAGAAAATAAGACAGAATATTGTGATAAATAGTTAACAGGGTAGAGGAGGGAGTCCACTACTTTAGATGGGTGGGCTTCTTTGAAGTGGTAACGTACAGCCAAGATAGCCTTGCCAAAACCTGGGGAAAGAGATATCCAATCAGAGGGAACAGCCAGTACAGAGGTCCTAGAGCAAAAATGAATTTGCTATATCTGAAAAAAGGCCAGTGTGGCTAGAGAGGAGCCAGTGATGGGGAAAATAATAGGAGTTAAGGTTGGAGGGTCAGAGTATATATAATCCTGAATTCACTAGATCAGGTTTTATTCTAATTATATTGAGATGCCTCTGGAAGATTTTAAGAAGGGGATTGATATAATCTGGTTTATACTTTGAGATTACTCTGGCAGCTGTGAAGAAATTGGCTTGTTGGGGACAAAGAATCAAATAAGGGAGACTCATGGGGAGGATTTTGCAGTATCCAGGAAAAGAGCTCATGTAGTTTGGAGTAAGATGGCAGCCGCAGCCTGGTAAGAGGGAGAGATGGATTTGGGTTATACTTTGGTGGTCGGGCAAACAGGACTGCTAACATTTGGATGTTAGGTTGAGGGAAGGAGGAAAAATCAGATATGACTTCTAGTCATATGCCTGATCAGCTGGGTGAATTTCATATTACAGAAATCAGAAGATGTGGTAGGAGCAGGCTCATTGCTGAGATGGGGGAGAGGAGTCCTGACCTAGATCTCTTAGGTTTGCAGTACCAACTTAATAGCCTGGTGAAGATGACAGATATTTTGTGTCTGATGTTCAGGAGACAGCCAAGATTAGAGAGAAATTTAAGCGACATTAGTATGTAGGTGGTATTTAAAAGCATAGGGACTGGATCACATTACCTAGGGAGAGTTTAGATAGTAAAAAGAGAGGGCTCAGTATCCCAATATTTAGAAATTGAGCAGCCAGCAAGGATCCTGCGAAGAAGCATTTGGTGATGTCGAAGGAAACCCAGTAGGTGTGATCCAGAAGCAAGGAGTTGTGAGGTCTGTCCAGTGCTGCTTGAGAAATATGGAAAGCTGGAAAGAGCCTTCATAATTGGATGTGGTAAGAAGAAGAAAGGTCATTATTGACCTTGGTATTGAATACTTTTTGCATGCCAACAGCATTCGGGGTGCTTTTACGTCTACTAACTTTTTTAGTCCACATGACAACCGTGAGACAGTTGCCTTTATTATCCCCATTTTCTAGCTAAGAAAATTGAGTCATAGAGAAATTATGCTGCTTTTGTACCTAGTGACTCACAGAACAGGGATTGGAACTCAAGAGGTCAAAGTCCAAGCCTAACAACCATATTCTGTTTCCCTCCTATGTAATATGTATGATGAGAAAAACTGGTATGAGGGGCACCTGGGTGGCTCAATCGGTTGAGCGTCTGACTCTTGATTTCCACGCAGGTCACAATCTCATGGTTCATGGGATCCAGTCCTGTTTTGGGCTCCACACTGAGTGTGGAACCCACTTGGGATCCTCTCTCTAACCTCTCTGCTGCTCCTCTGCTCTTGTGCGCTCTCTCTCTCTCTCTCTCTCTCTCTCTCTCTCT